CTGGTGATGCAGCCGCCGGCGGAGCTGCCGTCCTCTTCTCCACCTGTCCATCGAGTCACTTCGAGTCACTTCCTTCCCACTTGTCATTCGAGTGCCGCAAATGCGGCAACAGCGGCGGCGGCGTCGCCTCTGGTGATGCAGCCGCCGGCGGAGCTGTCGTCCTCTTCTCCACCTGTCCATCGAGTCACTTCGAGTCACTTCCTTCCCACTTGTCATTCGAGTGCAGCCAAATGCGGCAACAGCGGCGGCGGCGTCGCCTCTGGTGATGCAGCCGCCGGCGGAGCTGTCGTCCTCTTTCTCCACCTGTCCATCGAGTCACTTCGAGTCACTTCCTTCCCACTTGTCATTCGAGTGCCGCAAATGCGGCAACAGCGGCGGCGGCGTCGCCTCTGGTGATGCAGCCGCCGGCGGAGCTGTCGTCCTCTTTCTCCACCTGTCCATCGAGTCACTTCGAGTCACTTCCTTCCCACTTGTCATTCGAGTGCCGCAAATGCGGCAACAGCGGCGGCGGCGTCGCCTCTGGTGATGCAGCCGCCGGCGGAGCTGTCGTCCTCTTCTCCACCTGTCCATCGAGTCACTTCGAGTCACTTCCTTCCCACTTGTCATTCGAGTGCCGCAAATGCGGCAACAGCGGCGGCGGCGTCGCCTCTGGTGATGCAGCCGCCGGCGGAGCTGCCCTCATGTTTCCCCCCCTGTCAATCCATCCGCATCCCCCACATGTCGCTTCGAGTGGCGACGGTGCGGGGGTGACGTTTGTGGCGGCGCCGGTGATGGATGCGTTGGCTTACGATTTGGCATGGGCGTTGGCGGGTGTTGCGGTTGCGTAGGTTGTGGCAGTTGTGTCGGATGTGGCGGCGGTGGCGGCTGCGGCAGGTGTCGCTGCGGTGTCGGTAGGTGTGGCGTTGGCGGCGGGTGTGTCTGCGATGGCCGTGGTAGCGGTTGTGGAGGCAGCGGTGCCGGTGCCGGTGGCGGGTGTGGCGTTGGCGGCGGGTGTGGCGGCTGCGGGAGGTGCGGTGGCATTGGTGACGTGTGTGGTGGCATTTGCCTGGCGGCGTTGGAGTTGGCTTGGCGGGTGTGGCGTTGGCGGCGGGTGTGGCTGCGGTGGAGGTGGTGGCTATGGATGGGACGGTGGCGGTGACGGTGGCGGCGACGATGGCGGGTGTGGCGGTGGCGGCGGGTGTGGCGGCTGCGGGAGGTGCGGTGGCATTGGTGACGTGTGTGGTGGCATTTACCTGGCGGCGTTGGAGTTGGCGTAAGCGGGTGTGGCGTTGGCGGCGGGTGTGGCTGCGGTGGAGGTGGTGGCTATGGATGCGACGGTGGCGGTGACGGTGGCGGCGACGATGGCGGGTGTGGCGGTGGCGGTGGGTGTGGCGGCTGCGGGAGGTGCGGTGGCATCGGTGACCGGAGTGGTTGCATTTGCCTTGGCGGCGTTGGAGTTGGCGTTGGCGGGTGTGCCGTTGGCGGCGGGTGTGGCTGCGGTGGAGGTGGTGGCTATGGATGTGACGGTGGCGGTGCCGGTGGCGGCGATGATGACGGGTGTGGCGTTGGCGGCGGGTGTGGCGGCTGCGGGAGGTGCGGTGGCATTGGTGACGTGTGTGGTGGCATTTACCTGGCGGCGTTGGAGTTGGCGTTGGCGGGTGTGGTGTTGGCGGCGGGTGTGGCTGCGGTGGCGGCGACGGTGGCGGGTGTGGCGTTGGCGGGGTGCTTGGCGGCTATTGCAGGTGCAGCGGCATCGTTGACGGGTGTGGTGGCATTTGCGTTGGCGGCGTTGGAGTCGGCCTTAGCGGGTGTGGCAGTGGCGGCGGGTGTGGCGGCTGCGGCAGGTGCAATGGCATCGGTGACGGGAGTGGTTGCATTTGCCTTGACGGCGTTGGAGTTGTCGTTGGCGGGTGTGGCGTTGGCGGCGGGTGTGGCTGCGGTGGCGGTAATTGTGGTGGCGGCGACGGTGATGGGTATGGCGTTGGCTGCGGGTGTGGCGGCTGCGGGAGGCGCCGTGGCATTGATGACGGGTGTGGTGGCAGCTGCCTTGGCAGCGTTGGAGTTGGCGTTGGGGGTTGTGGCGTTGGCAG